TCCCACAGACTAGGCCTCCTCCGAATTCCATCTACCAGCCAATGCCGACTGGCGACCACCCGGAGGACGGCCTTCTCTGTGGCTGCTCCGGCCCTCTGGAACGATCTCTCTGTGGAGATTCGGACCCTCACCACCCTTCAGGCTTTCCATAAAGCCGTTAAAATCTGGCTGTTCCAGCAGGCCTGGGACTGCTGAGTTCCAACCCCACTCAAATTGGTGTGCTTGTTGAGACCTTTTAAACTGGCTTTGTATTGTTGTCTGTTTTTGTTTTCTTTGTTTTATGTATTGTTCCCTTCCCTTCCGGTTTGTGAGCCACCCTGAGTCCCTCGGGAATAGGGCGGCATACAAGTTGAATAAAATCCAAATCTCATTGACTTTACCTGTTGAAAGCGCTCTGAGAAGATTGAAAATGGCGATCTTGGGACTTTGGTATGCTGCAACCATCATAAATACATGTTGCTTGCCAAAGACCCATATTTTGATCACATGACTACACAGACACTGCAACAGTTGCTAAGTTCGGGGACTGTTTATAAGTCCCCCCCCCTTTTTTTTTTTAGTATTGTTGTAATTCTGAAAAGTGTTTAAATGAATGGTTGTAAGTCAAGGACTACCGGTAAAGGCATAATGATAATGAAAGAGCAAAATCTGAGAGCATGGAAACCAATGGTTCTGAGGATAAACAGAACTAATACAAAAACGCTGAATGGATCATTCTTGATTTCAAGGCTGGTAAGAGAATGGGCAAAGTTTATTGACCTAAAAATTCAGGACTCCAAATCACATATAATGACTGATTTTTAAATTGTTCAATTGTCAGATCTTCTTTGCTTATGTGGCTTCTGTCTTGTCTGCAGTAAACTTGGCTAGCGTGTCCTGCCTCTGATCTTCCACTATAAGCAAGTTTTTGAATATGTTATGAAACATCTGGAGAGACGATATTGAATGTCATGCATTTTCAACCTCAACCAGAATAGAACTGGAAGGGACCTTGTAAGTCTTCCAGTCCAACCCCCTGCATAAGCAGGAGATCCTATACCATTTCAGACAAGCGACGGTCCAGTTTCTTCTTAAAAACCTCCAGTGATGAAGCACCCACAACTTTGCCATCAAGCTGTTCCACTGGTTAATTGTCCTCATTGTTAGGACGTTTTTCTTAATTCCAGGTTGGTTCTCTCCTTGATTAGTTTCCATCCATTGTTTCTTGCCTAATGATGGCAACTGCTGGAATTGTTTATGTGACATCACATCTTACAACTGTACTACTTAATAGCAGAGTTTCCACTTCCAATTACCATTGGTAAATGAGACGATCTGTATCTGGCTGCTCAAAAAACATCTGAAGTCCTAGATCTGAACGGCCACATGCTTTTCCAATGTCCCACTACCTAACTGTGAAAGTATTTAATTATTGAATAGTAGCTTGGAAAATTCCTAACTTTGGAGTACTCTGCCAAAATGTATTAATATATTACTAAGTACAGTTGTGCTATCTAAAACCACATATCCATTGTCAGAAAATTGCGTAGCCAGTGTCCAAAGGGAGTCACAGATGCTGATAAGAACTTGTGGTTTTTATATAAATAAATATATTTACAGTAAATAAGAGAAGGAAACGAGCATAGTCAGGGAAATCAATACAGTAGGAACATCATCGGGTAAAACACAGAGAGCACCTAGAGGAGTGATGGTGAACCTTTTTTGGCTTGGGTGCCATAAGTGGTGAGCGCATGAGGGTTGTGCATGGGCGTGCCACATCCATAATGCAACACGCCCCCCCCCCAGTGCGCATGTGCACATGAGAGGCGCTCTCCCCATTTTTTGCATGCTTTTTTCGCCCTCCCCAGGCTCCAGAGGCTTTATAGGAGCATAGGGAGGGCAAAAAGAGCCGCCTCCACCTCCCGGAGGCCGTCCGGAGGCTTCAGGGACCTTTAGGAGGCTTCCCTGAAGACTCCGGAGGGCAAAAAAAACCACCCTACGAGCGAACCGGAAGTGACTTCCGGTTTGCTCATAGGGTTGGTTTAAGCCTTCCAGAGGCTTCAGGGAAGCCCCTGAAGGGTCGTTTTTAGTCCTCTGGAGGATTCAGGGAAGCCTCCTGAAGCCACTCTAGGGCTTAAACCGACCCCCCTGAGCAAACCGGAAGTTCGGAAACGGACTTCCTTTTGCCCATAAGGCCATTTTTTTGTACTCCGGAGGCTTCAGGGAAGCTCCTCCAGAGTGCCTCTGGGGGGAGAGGCTCTTTTCGCCCTCCCCAGGCTCCTATAAAGCCTCTGAAGCCTGAGGAGGGCAAAAAATAGCTTTAAAAAAGGCAACGTCTCACCTGCCCTGACAAATGGCTCCGCGTGCCACAGGTTCACCATCCCAGACCTGGAGGAAAAAAGACATGGAAACTCCCTCTTTTTATTCACAACAACCAAACAGAGCTCAGGTTGGCTCGTGAAGTGGCCAGTTGTCTTTAACTAATTAGCTATGACTGTGTATTCTTACTCATTGTCCAACACTTCATTACTCCAGCTATTAAATTTTAAATAACATCAATGTGTATTTATTATAATCTGCATATATTGCTGTTTTAAAAGCTGGATTTGGATACTAACATTCTTGGAAATAATATTACTGTTAATGTAGTTCTTTGACAAACAAAATCTGAAAAAATATTTTAAATGCCTAATACCAGTTTCATATTTCAAGTCTCTTTTTTCTAAATTTTTCCTAATAACTCCTCCCCATGTATGTAGTACCAAGTTGTAGGATTAAGAAAGTCACTTTCACTGACTAATAATCCTATTTAATCTAGAATAAAATGGTTCTTTAAAAAAATAAGTGCCTCTTTTTATTGAAAATAAGATTAAAACTTATCAGACTTTTTAAAAAATTGCTATCATTTTGGGATGATTTTTTTAAGCAGTAAATTATGCAAGTTCAGCTAAACTATTTCCTGTTTAAACAAAGAAAGAAAGGGGGGAAATCGAATAACATTCACTTCCTGAATGACAGCATTCCAATTCTGAGATTGGCTACAGTATAACTGCCAATCAGAATCCTCCTTGGAGGGATCATTTCGAATGCTGTTTACATAGTTTGTGATTTTTCTTTCTCATTCTTGGTGTTGTACCATTTGAAAAATGTCTTGATTTGTTCTGCTGGACAGCTGTATGAAAACCATAAAAGTTTATTTTCTACACAGGATAGCAACATGAAGGGAAAGGATTGTATGTTCCTCTGTAATTTCAGGTATGGTAATTACCAGGTTGTGAAGACAGAAAAGGACATCTTTTCTTATGTTTCCCTATGGAAAGCTTTTTAAAAAAAAACTAATTTTATTAAAGCTTACTAATAGATTAAAGGAACTAAGAAAAATATAAAAAGTTTTTTAAAAGAATAGTAAAGGAAAGTAGAAGACAGGAAAAAAAAACAGTATATATATATATGATGCCTGCTTAAGATATCTTGAATGTTGACTTTGTTTTTCAATGTAGTTGGTGCTAATTATGTTGCTATGTTGGCATGCATCAGTTGCTAGGAATAGATGGCAGTAAATAATCTTGCTTGCAAAATAGAAAAATGAAGTACAAATTAAAAACTACTGCGCCGTTTGAGAAAATAGCAATACAAGAAATGATATAGATGAGGGTATTCTGTTTATTAACATCATTTTAAAATATAAGATATTGCATTAAAAGTATGTTAATCTAGTTTGGTGGCTTATAAAATGAAATGAGACCTTTATATAGTTCCAAATATTGTAACTTAAAGTAGAATACTGTGCAAGTCTTTGGTAATATTATTGTATTTTTATATTTGAATAGCTGTATTTGTAAATTTCCTGTGAGAGCCAGTTTGATGTGGTGGTTAAGGCATCAGGCAGCAAACAGGGAAACAGAAAGCCAGCTGAGTGACCCCCGGCCAATAATTTTCTCTCAGCCATAGGAAGGAGACAATGGTACTTCTGAAAAACCTTGCCAGGAAAATTGCTTAGACTTGTTCAGGCAGCCTCCAAAAATTGGACAGAAGTTTGTGGAAGAAAAAAAAAATCTGTGAAAAATGTAGCATAGAATATTTTGCAGAGGAAATGATCTGTCTTGGGGAACTGTTTATATTTTGGTTATATATACAATACATTCATTGTAGTTTTAAAACTCCAAAGCGTTTTCTAATATAGTATGATTTATAATAACTAATGTTCAAGTCATCTTTGCCCAGTACATGCAATCTTCACCCACTGATTAAAAAGAAAATCAGTCTAGTAATAACACTTCTCTGGAAAAAGAACACAGAAAGGCTTAAATGCCTGCAATTGTAGAAGATCATGGAGAAAGGCATAATAGAAATATAGTCTGTATTTGCACGAACTGTTGCTGTCACTGAATGTTTCTCCTATCCTTTCCTAGAGTCTGCCAGCTGTGATTCATGAAATGATTCTTAGGCGCTGACTAATTCTGTGGTTTTCTTTTCCACTCCTCTCCTACATTCTTTGGAAAACTGTTGGGTTTTTAAAAAAGGACAGCATCTGTTAAACATAAAAACCAAACTTACCAAGCATAAAGAAAATTATATTTCTCAGTCATACACTTAAATATTCTCTGCAGATGTTTTTATTTCTTTAGGCAAATAATCCTCTACAAAGTAAAATCTAGCTTTTAAAAATATCATTTTAAAAGTTCATATCTGTAGGATAGTGAACTAAATTAACATCTTTTGTGGCCGTTTTTTTTTTATTCTAGATCGTTCAGAAAGAAATAAACCAGACCACCGTTCATCAGGGTGAGATTGTTTTTCTGTTTTTGTTCTTTTTATATTCTTCTATATTATACTAAAAAAAATTAAGAAACTGTAATTGAATGAAAATATTAAAAACATTAATTTTGCAGTTTAGATTTGCTCTGGTGATTAAAGTGTATAAAGGATCACATTGAGTCCTTTCAAATTTTCAAATAGGGTAAATATTTTATTGGTTCCATATGTACTCTCTCTTTCTTGCATTTATAATATTCTTTACGTAGGACTGAAAAACAAAAAAAGTGCTTTATAATATGCATGGCTTTAATAATTGTGAAAATGGAAAGAATTCTATTTTTTTTTTGTAACACAATGGGCAAATGTGCCCTTCAGCCCAGAAAATTTCTGTATCTCTAACTCTGTACATTTTATAAACTATGATTAAAAATTATTAATACTATATCATAAACTGTGAATGTAGCCATTGAAAGATGTAGGGACATTATGGAACTTAAAATGACTAGAATGTATTATTTTGTAGATTTATTTTTTTGTGTAATAAAGCATCTACAACGTGTCCTTGTAGAATAGAATAGTTTATTAATTTATTAGTCTTATGATCTTATCAATAAAATAAAAATACATAATTTTATTCTGGGATAAAATAATTAAAAGGAACCATAGTGATAAAATACATATGTGGTAATATAAGGAGTGCAAGTCCTTGTAGTTAAATACATATCCCTCATGTGAGACTATTTGTCTTTTTTATGTGTACAACTGTACAGAATATTAGTCTCTGCTCCATTTTAAGATACCTCTTGAAGATATTAGCACCCAGTCTGTAAATGTAAACAGTTCATAAATAAGGAAGAAAGAGATATGGTTCACTTGAAAATGGTTACAGTAATATATGGGTGATGGCAAATTGTATTTCATAAATTGATATTTCTCTATATTGATAAGTGTGTTTACCCATGGGTATCACTAATCAATTTATTGGCAAATGGAAAAAATTACTTTTTTATAATTATAAAGAAATATGAAAGGAGTATAATCTGATTTGATTGCTGAGACAATGTTTTCTACCCTCCAAGTATTTTGTTTACTTTTAACTACTGAATGCTGAGCCCTTTAAGATATAATTGCTAAAAACCGTTACAGTTTTCCCACATTTCAAACTTGGAAATGTTTTTGACTGGGACAAGGTCATATGTAATTTAACTAAGGGCAATATGTGGCTTTAGGGCCATAGATTGCTCAACCCTATGTCTAATTTAATGTGCTGTAAGCATTGTTAGTATTTGTTTCTTTAACACAAGAAATATGCAGCAAGGAATTTAGTAATTACTTTACTTGACTCTTTTAGTTCATATCTTTACGTGACATGAAAGTTTTAATTGCCCTGCTTCTCATGTAAGATATTTTATAATTGCTCAAACTTAGTTGAAAATGTGCAGTAGGAAACTATCAAAGTTGAATTAAGCTTATAAAAATACATTACACTGAAGAGTATTGTGTTTATCAGGTATTCATATCAGTGGTGGGATTCAAATTTTTTTACTACCGGTTCTTTGGCCATGGTTTGATGGGCATGGCTTGGTGGGTGTGGCAGGGGAAGGATGTAAAATCTCAATTTCCTCCTGATCAGCTGGGATTCGGGAGGCAGAGAATTGATGGGGGCGGGGCCAATCAGAGGTGATATTTACCGGTTCTCCAAACTACTCAAACGTTTCTGCTACCGGTTCTCCAGAACTGGTCGGAACATGCTGAATACCACCTCTGATTCATATCCCTAACAGGTATGAAATGTGACAGCCCTGTGTCATATACTTTAGAACAGTGGTCCCCAACCTTTTCAGTTTGGAGGCTTGGTCGTGGAGGGGGGGAATGGTTCTTTGTGAGTGGCAGGCACATGCAAGCAAGCACAGGTCCTTTTGCTCAAATGATGGGAGCAGGCACCCACTGCTCACACAAATGGAGCTTCACACACAAGTGTGAGTGCCTACCGTTTGCACAAGTGGAGTAGCACGCACAAGTACCCACCACTCATACAGCCTGGTTCTGAATGGGCCAAGGTCTGGTAGTGGGCCCCAGTCCAGGGGTTGTGGGACCCTGCTTTACATGTCACTCCTATAATTTACAACAATTTATAAACTTCAGGTAAAAGGCACTTGAATATTCAGAGCTAAGAAATGCCACCGTAGAAAAGAAAGTTTTATGTGGATAAGTCAACTCTTTTTACTAGATTTTATATTTTATCAGTTTTAATTTCTAGTATAGCAGGTTTATTAAAGTCAGAAATGGTTTTAAAGATACAAATAAAACAGTAGCTTTGCTAACTGAACTTACCAAACTTAGTTGGCTTAATCTATCTGGAATCTTAATCTTTGAGAACATTTAATGAGCAGTTTCTAACACATCAGACATAAATATAATTACCATAATTTTTGGAGTATAAGATGGAGCATTTTTCCTCAAAAAAAGAAGCTGAAAATCTGGATGCATCTTATACAGCATTTTTTGTCTCCCGAAGCCCCACCCCTCACCAAAATGGCCATGCCTACCCTTATGGAGGCTTTCAGAGAGCTCCTGGGGGCTAGGGAGGGCAGAAATGAGCACAAAATGGGTCATTTTTGCCTTCCCAGCCCCTAGCAGTACTCTATAAGCCTCCATAAGGCTATGCATGCAAATTTTTTGACAAAAAATGGGCCCATTTTTGTGGAAAATGGACCTTTTTTTGGCCATTTTTGTCCCTCCCGGAGCACTCTGCAAAACACCCCCCCCCCAAGGCTATTCATGCCTTTAAAAAAAAAACCGGGCCTGTTTTTGTGAAAAACGGGCCGTTTTTGTGAGGTTTGCAGAGTGCAAAAACTTTTTTCCCCTTTTGGAAAGCTCGTTAACTGATTGATGAGAATTACATTGATCAAGTGCTGTGCCAGCAGAAACACCTACCTATCTACTGTATTTCTCTCTATCTCTATTTCCCTCTCTCTATCCCTCTACCTACCAACCTACACATACTCTCTCTCTCTCCTTACCTACCTACTGTATTTCTCTCTCTCTATTTCTCTCTCTCTATCCCTCTACCTACCTACCTACACTCACTCTCTCTCCCTACCTACCTACTATATTTCTCTATTTCTCTCTGTCCCTCTACCTACCTACATACCTACCTACCTACCTACCTATACTCTCTCCCTACCTACTGTATTTCTCTCTCTCTCTCTCTTCCCCTTTATCTACCTACCTACCTACCTAACCTAACTTAACTACTCTCTCTACCTATCTACTGTATTTCTCTCTCTCTCTCTCTATCTACCAACCTATCTACTCTCTCTCTCTCCCTACCTATGTACTGTATTTCTCTCTATCTCTTTCTATTTCTCTCTCTCTATCCCTCTACCTATCTACCTACCGACATACTTTTTCCAGTGGAAGAGAGGGAGGGGTTACGTGTGGGTATTCTCAAAGCCTGATTGGTCCAAAGACTGAGAGAAAACTTCTTAAATGCCCCTTCTTTCTCCTTATCTCCCAGTTTCCTCTCAGTCTTTTGGTCCAAGCACTGTTGAGAATTTTAGGTAGGAATTGAATTATTTAATTGGATACGTGTAATTCGAATTATTGGAGACTCTAAAATTTTAAATTTCCAAATTTACTGCTGTGGCCCAAGGGACAGTCTTTTCTGCCCTGTGCTGTCAGGGAGAGCCCCGTGGGGCATTGCCACTCCCTCTCCATGGGCCTGGAGCTCTTCTCCATATCCCCGGGCCAGTTGGGGTGACAGGCTCCGAAGCGCAGATTCGGGAACTTCTTTGGAAAGTGGACAGCGAAATTGAACATTTTTGACTTGCCGGCGCTTGCGAGGAGTGTGCGAAGAGTCTGCAGAGGCGCTGCATTTAATTTGGATGGCTGCCGTCTTCCACACTGCACCAGACATCGAGGGCACCGTGAAGCTAAAGACTAAGGCAGACAAGCTTTGGTGCCGGGGTTTCTGAGCCAGGAGAGCCCATTTCAGCGAGGAGCCCGGCTGTACCATTTGACAGCAAGTCGCGGCTGCCATTAGATCGCACCAAGCGCTCGGGAGTTCTGTCGGCCATTTTGGGTGCCACGTGCGGAAGGCCGCTAATGGCCATGTGGGCACTAGAGGAGCCTCAGACCGGAGAGGCTGGATTCATCACAGCCCTCAAAAGCTCCCGAGGATCCAGGCTCCAGCGGGGCCTACAGAGGCCTTATCAAATACATGAGTGGGGCGATGGAGGCGAGACCAGAAGTTTCCCAAGGCCCTGCGGCCTCTATGGCAGCTGCGGAGGACCAAGGCCTAGGTTCCAAGACAAGGGTGTTGCAGCCAAACCCATGGCGTCTCAGCGCCCCTCTAGGGCTGTAACCAGGGAGGAGGCAAGGAGGCAGAAGGCCCTGGAGAAGACCTTTGCCAGGGCCGAGAAGCAGGCCCAAACAACTAGGCTTAGATCAAACTGCAGGTCTAGGTCCCCAGTCAGGCCCTCCTATATTCAATCAGCCTCTCCCAAGGGCTTCAGCCCGTCCTCTCCTTCGGTCTCCCCATCCAGATCTTCCAGATCTCACGTTTATTCCAGACAAGGGGTGTCACCTTCCCCTTCTGTTTTCCCCAATCCTGCAAGTGGGGTGGCGGTGGACCCTTTGGAGGGTACCTCTAGAACACACCAGCCTTCATGCAGATTAGCTCCACAGGATCCAGGATCCTCTCATGAGGAGCTAGAGGAACTGGAACACCTCCCTGAGAACATTAAGAAGCTCATCTCTGCAGCCACCACCCGGGCATCGCTCAGAGGGACAGGAGTTTCCATTCTTATAGAACTCAGGGCAGCCATAGCCTACAACATCATAGGGCTCCCTCTCCATCCATGGTCAGTGAGGGATCCACTGGGATTGTCCTGGGGGAGGACAATCTCCAGGACATGGGTTTCTCAGAGGATGAGGACTCTGTTTCTCCTAACCCCTCTTCTTCCACGGGCCTTTTTCCCCCGGCAGTGATCAAGACCCTATTGCACAAGGCCAGGAAGACCACC